GCGCAACAGTAGATAAACCATGCGCAGAAGTAGTTTAAAATACATGCGAGCATGTTTATTTTGCTTGTGGGCGTTTTGAAATAAATCTGAGGCCATACAACAGAAATAGAAAATCACAGATGAAAATCTTGATTGTATTTAGCATTTTTACTAACAATTTATCACTGTACATTTTTAAATACACAGTCTAACTTCAAATTAAATATTTGTCTGGCAGCCATATTTTCCTATTTGAACAGATTTTTTAATCTTGTTTGCTTCACTCATGAAATGAAGCAGGACTTTTTGTCCTCATTTTAAGTAGTGGCTAGTCTGACCAGCAGACATATTTTCGTGGAAAAAGGCTGTTTTCTGGCCATTAACTTCTTAAAACTTTTCCTTTTGTTTGATTCATTTAAAAAAGTAAAAAACACATCAACTAATGCACAAACAGACAGTTTTCTTTGATGCTTTGAAACACCTGGTTCCCACTGCAGAGTGACCAAATCTGAGTGATCATCTTCATGATTAGCCGATCTGTTTTGACTCCTCTAACTTCCAGTGGGAGGTAGTATGGTTGGAAACGTAATGAACTTTGTACCTTTTGGTCAAAATTTTCAGGCGTGAGAAAGAAGTTGTAGAGCGGCACGAAGTATCCTTCCAACAGACCCATCAGCAGCACCAGATAAACGCCGTCTGCAAACTAAAGGAAAACAGACGCACAAACACATGAAGCAAAACTTAATCAATCTGATGAATATTTACATTGAAGAGGCAGGGTTACATAAACTGTTTCCAGTCACAGTAAGAGCTTAGAAAGCGTTTGTTGGGCTCATCCTACCGTCATTCAGCACAGAAAACAGAAACTAATTCTTTGAATTTAAAACCTTTTAATTGATTTTGTAATTTCTTTAAAGTATCTTTTAATATAAAAAAAGAATTTAAGCTGCAGCTGTTGTGGAAACCTTTCAAACTTTAGTTCAGGGTAACTAATCATAAACGGGGATCGACTGAAACAGATTCTTAAGGGCAATACTCTATTTTTCAATATCAGTTTTAGATCACTGATATGTGCTGCCAATATTTGGGGCACATTCTTGGAGTCAATTTTGCATTTTTTTCCCCCACACTATTTGCATAATAAAAATGACAGAATGATAAAAGTTACAAAAAGTCTCAGTCTAAACAGGGATAAAGATTTATTAACGATTTAAAGTAACAGTAAAAACTGATGGAAGATGGAGGCATGCGCCATATGTGATCTAAAAGCATGGCTACTGAATGCACAAATGCATCGGTGAATGCATATGTCAGCCAATATGATACATGAAAATAAAGCCTGATGATGCTGCCCACTGCCCAGCATCGCTGCTTTCTGCAGGGAGAGATTTACAGGACCATCAGTTAAATATAGCAGCTGGTTAATCTATTGGTTTATCTTTAACTATTAACTAATAGAATACTTTGATCTAACTTTTCTTTTACAGTAGGTGAAGTAATGCCTATTATTACAGTTACTGGATATATTTCTTTTCTTTATAAAAACACTGGCCTTTTACACAATTACTTGTTATTTTACTCTAACCTACAGGTGAGTTCAGACCACGCACAGTGTCTTCGGTGAGACTGTGAACTTACATCGTACCCCTATGCAAACCGTGTGGGGAAGCAGCAGGTGGTGATAGCGTTCACTGCTCCTCTCTCTCCTCGTGCTACTAGACAGAACTGAGGTGTCAAACAACAGCGGCACATGGAGAGAGGAGCGGTGATCAATGAAGATAAAAAATCTTAACTTTCCATTGAAACTGCGTCAATCAGAGCCGATCACGTAATCGTTTTAGTTGTGATTCAGGTTAAAAAAGGTGCAGCAAAGGCAAAGCTTTTTCAGTCAAAATGGAACATAGAGGAAATAATGTTAAAGGATGAAACAAGGAGTGCTCTGAAGAGGTTTCTGCTGGGGTAGATTTAGAAGGAAGTCCCGTCGAATCTGACTGGCATCCAGACGCAGCTCTGGATGAACCAATGTGGACAAAAAATGTATGTTCTCTCTAAGACGATTCAAAAGTTGTTCATAGAGAACAATTTAGCAGCAGTCTGAGAAGTTCACGTGTGCTTTTATTGTGAAATGCTAATGAGACCTTGACAGGAAATGACAGAATTGCCGGGGGTAATGGCAAGGAGGCTGATGAATGATACTTCCGGCGTAAATACTAGATTATACAAGGATGTTTGAATAGTGGGAGTTATCTTCATTATGTTTAATATATTTAAAAGAAAATTCAACTTGTTAAAAACAACATGTTTAAAACTTCTTTATCTTCAGATCCTTTCTCCCCTGCTACTAGTGAAAAATAAACATAAAGGAATTGATCATTAGTTTCCCGGTAGGTCCAGAATAGCCTCCAGACGGTCCTTCTAGTCAGGTCAATATTTCTGACCAATATTAGTGTTTTATTTTCTTGTTTCTCATTGGCTGATACATGCAAGCATTCAATGATCCATTAATGCATTTAGCAGCCAAGCCCTGAGATCACATAGAGTGCATGCATCGATTGTTAACAATTTATCAGATTTGTTAATAGTAATGTTTTTACATTTAAACTTGTGTAAGATTCAGTATCATTGTATAATTTTAAGAATGTGATCAGCATCACAGGATCGGCTATACTGATGGTAAAATAATCAGAATTGGCCTTAATAAAACCTGCATCACTCGACCTCTACACCGTTTCAAAATGGCTGCTGGACAGACTTACCTGTGTGTCCAGTTCTGACACTTCCAGGTTCAGCTTGTTCAGGTGTTTGTTCACAAAGGTGATCAAAGTCTGAAACCAGGCAAAGCAACATGTAAGAAATAATAGCATGGATACAGGCCAAACTATTTTACATTACAATGGCTAAAACCATATAGATTACCATCTTAAAACAAATTATTATGCAATATAAAGAAAAAATAATGGAATTTGAAAATAATGTGTACCTTTAACAAATTAAAAGTTTATGCAAATATCGATTTCTAAATTGGGATAGAGAAAAATCAAGACTAACAGGAATTGATGCAACTTTTTACAAGAGTAATAATTTCATTTAAATGGTGATTAAATAGTTAACCAAACAAAATATGAAACATGAAGATTCTCAAACTTTGAAGTAATCTTTGTATTTAACTAAATTTAGGGCGAATCAGTAAAGAATAATAACAGAGTCTTAACAGAAAACCACACTTTTCAACTTTTTATTGTATGAAATGGATTCAACAGTTCAGGCTGTTACTAGTGGAGGGTTGAGGTTTGTTTGAATTGTCGGCCTGTAGCTTCAGATTTTTATAAGTAGATTAAATGTCAGCCATCACAGCCTGGCAGGAAGTTTAAACCTCACACAGGTTTCTCTAAATAGCCTCAGATTGATTGAATGAAGAGAATTAATCAGAGGTAATTATATAGCAAAAAGTAAACATGTCTCACATTTTTGAGAAATTCACAAAATCCAAACTTTAGTTAATGTGACCTTAATAGAGTCTCTAAAGATTCCTGCTGCATCGCAGTGTTTTTAGAAATGTGACTTTTTGGACCTTAAACATTTTTCACGTCACACTTCCGCAACTTATAAAAACAGGAATTTAAAAACATTGTGGCAGAAATTTCTACCGAGGCCTGGATGGATGAATGGATGGATGGATGGATTAATGGAAAGATGAATGGATGGATTAATGGAGAGATGAATGGATGGATGGATGGATGATGAATGGATTAATGGAAAGATGAATGGATGGATTAATGGAGAGATGAATGGATGGATGGATGGATGATGAATGGATT